TGTCTGGTCCAGACTCAATTATTTACAGACATATAGCTGGAATATTGCTGAGTGCGGCGTTAAACAACAAACCAACCAACAAATCTTATATTGCTAAAAGCGGCGTAAAACCATACTCACTCACTCACTCACTCACATATGAACAATCATCGACTCTTTATGGACAATTAATACAATATTTATGTACAGTACATACGGAACATTCTCATGTCGCCCTGTCTCTACGCGTAAGGCGCCATCCCACATCTCAGTTGGGTGTGAGTTGTATTTTACGCCGCCTTTAGCAATATTCCAGCAATATCACGGCGGAAATGGGCTTCACACATTGTACCCATGTCGGGAATCGAACTCGGGTCTTCGGCGTGACGAGCGAACGCTTTGACCACTAGGCTACCCGACCGCCCCTACATCTCAATTGGACATAGGCTCTTACTCTTGCCGCGGGGTAGGGACAGCTGAGGTTCTTCTCCAGGATACAGTCGTGTTTATATACAGTGTATATCCCCCAAGTTTGTTTCTTCCATTTCCTCGCAGTGCTACCAGTCGTTAGTTCGTCACACCAGGATCGGCACAGGGAGTCGTCGTCAACCCATGTCGTTGACACAAGGAGAGTTGCATCTGGATGCGGAGGGTTGTGGTCTGTGAAGCTGGTCAGATCGGGCCGTCGCCAACAGTGGACACAGTGGTACACGACCAATGCGTGCATGTTTGGTGGATCATGTTTGGTAGAAGAAATAACCGTGGAAGTATTACCTGTGGGGTTTCTTTACATGACATGATATATTCAACTTGTTGCAATCCTGCCTTCTCTTTCAATGCAAGGACTATATAGGGTTCACATCTTTAATGGTAAGAGTGAGTGAATGAGTATATTTTTACGCCGCTTTTAGCAATATTACAGCAATATCATTACGGGGGACACCAGAAATTGGCTTCACACATTGAATTCATGTCGGGAATCGAGCCCAGGTCTTCGGCGTGACGGGCGAACCCTTTAACCACGAGGCTACCCGACGCCTCTCTTTAATGGTAAGAACTCAGTATGATTTAGTAAATTACTGTTTTGTTAAATTCTAAATTAGGAAGTCTCAAATGTAGGTTACTCAATTACTCAAACAAAAGAATAGTTTAAATTAACATTCTCATAAGATACATGTGTATCTATACACTATATTTCCTTTTCTGAGAGAGCTTATGGTTAACTCCGTTATTTAAATCCCCTTTCCCTGGTTGGTTATCCCCATTGTAGTAGTTCTAATCAGCCGAGGGGGCACGGGTGGCCCAGTCGTCTAAGGCGCCGCGATTCGCTGTGCAGAGTTGCGTCCCTTGGGCACGCCAGAAACCCCTGATTGTGGGTTCGAATCGGTTCGCCCCAATTATGTTTCTAGGTTTGTCAGCACCATACCCGTGCTCGTGGGTTTCACCGAAGTGGTAAACGTCTGAGACCTGTATCACTTCGGGCTTTCCTGACACGCCGCGATATAACTGGAATACTGTTAAAAGCGGTGTTGAACCAAACTCACTCACTCGTAGCATGCATAAAAACATTGTGTATGAATTGTTTTTGTAACTTTTTCTAATATTTCTTGGAATTCCGTGTGTCGCTCATAGCCACCTGAACTAAACAATCTAAATGTCACTGATATTTGATTTATTTATCAATATTTTGACTACATGTACAGTGGACATATCATCACAATTCAAATATAGTGTAGAACACAAGAGAAATCCAGGCACTTATTATCGGTTAAATACGGTAAGTGTGTATACCTGCCGCAACCGGTTCATTGAATGTGAAAGAAGTGCCACGAAATCACATAATGAAACGTGTATGCTGAGTGTATGTGCGAAGTCATTCGCGAGAACAGCTTTTCCATCTACATGTATGTATACTCAACAACAAATGTTCCTGTGACACCATTATTTCAGTGTATTTTTCAAACAAGTAAAGTTTGGTTTTCAATATTGTAGTACATTTATGGAATCAAGTCACAAGAACGCAACTGCTACAGAAAAGCATGCATTCCATGCAAAAGTTGACTTTTATGCAAGACCCATGCATTTCACTACCAAAGAATGGGTATAAAAAACATGTGCGTTAACGGGATTCCATATGCATTGTTTAGCATCGTGCTGACAACAACCACTCAGAAAAACAACACATTTACGAAATTATTCAACATTACGAAATGCCACGCCTGTCCGAAAATGAGCGCCACGAGCCATTGGTATGCTTGAAGCAGGATCGAGTCAACGTGATGTTGCAAGACAATTTAACGTCCACAGAAACACCATTTGGTGTTTATGGCATCGTTGGCAACAGACGAATGCAGTCAGAGACCATCCTCGGAGTGGCAGGCCACGCGTAACCAATAATCGACAAGACAGCTGGATTCGAACAACACACCTACGAAATCGATTCCAGCCAGGAACAGTGACTGCAAGAAGCACCCCTCCCTTCGACTAATATCTTCACAAACCGTACGTCGTCGCCTCAGAATTGTCGCCAGAAGACCCGCCAGACGTCCCATTTTGACAGGAAACCACCGTCAAACACGTCTACAGTGTTACAGAAAGCGTCTACTCCCTTCTATTCACTAACGAGTCTCGTTTTCACCTCAGCCACAGCGATGGACGGATTCGAGTGTACAGACGTCGAGGTGAACGAATCATTGTGTCATGGAAGAAGATCGGTTCGGGGCCGGCAGCGTTATGGTATGGGGTGGGATTACAGCAAGACCGGTTTGATAGTGGCAGACGGAAATCTCAATGGACAGCGCTACCGCGACGAGATCATCGGCCCTGTTGTTCTACCGTTTTTTACGTCGTCATGGCCCAGGCATTACCTTTCAACATGACAACGCCCGGTCTCATATTGCTCGACTTGTTCAGGATTCTCTTTAACAAAACAACGTGAATGTCATCCCCTGGCCGGCTCGCACCCCTGATCTCTCACCAATCGAGCACATGTGGGATGAGATGGATCGGCGCCTTCCACGTCAACAACGTGTTCCACAGACACTCCAGGAACTTCGAAACATGCTCCAGCAGATATGGACAGATATCCCACAGGACTTTGTGCGACGCCTGGTCCATTCCATGAGACGAAGATGTGTTGCTTGCATCGCAAACAGAGGTGGACACACACGCTATTGATTTGTAAATTAACATTTTGACATGTTCATGTTTTTTTTATGAAATCACGCATTTTCTGAAGTCAGTATGGCAAATTTAACCATTTGAACACTTACATGAGTCATTCATCTGTTGCAAACCGAAATTGTTTCAGATTTCGTAAAACCATAACTTTGCATTAAATCTTATTCAATGCCACAAGAACGTTTGTTGTTCAGTATAGTTTAATATTGTTTCATTGATAATTGAGAACATCTGGCAACGTGTGGTTGAAATAAGTGACGTGGTGTCATGCTGGTTAAAGTGGCTGGTGATAGTACTTAGAGCTAGGGACCAGAGGGAGGCGGAAGATGTACAGAATTAAAAACAAATGCAGCAAAGAGGGTTTGGGTGGTCCTGGCACAGTCAGGTTGGTTAGGCTCATCTCAGCTCAGGATCCTTGCCTCCTCTAGATCTGCACGCAGCCCAGACAGTGAATGGGGCTTCCCTCAGGAAGCGCTGCCTGGTCGAACCCACCCAGAACCTTTCGGAGAATGTGAAGACTCCCCAACTCTGAAGCCTTCTGCATTACCCAGATTGTCAGACGGGCTGTATTCCTGGTAGCAAACCCAGGTACTCTCCCAATGTCAGTCAACTGATTGGGAAGTACCAAACCTAAAGGACCGAGAACAATGGGGAGTCGAACAACTTGGCTATTTCGATGCGAGCGTCACATTTCGAAAGCGAGGTCCGCATATATGCCCAGTTTTTCCTAAATCTTGTCAATCACATTAGTGTCCAAGGGGACCGAAAATTCAATGACATAAATGTTTTCATTGGATTTATCAAACAGGACAAGATCAGGTGTGTTGGCCTGGATAGGTCTTGGGCTGTATACGATGTACTTATTATTTTTCATGACGCCCTTTGGTACTTGGGAAGCATGCGTGACATTTAGGAAGCGAGGTTCTCATATTTGCCATGTTTTTCTCTTTCCAGACAATCGCATTTGTGTCAACAGTGACAGAGAATGAACAGCAGCTCACCTGACTGACAAACTTGGCACGTTAAGCAGCATCAGATGCCAGGCATCTTTTGTTGTTTGTCTCAGGTCATGGGTCAGATTGTTTCGCAGCAATATTAAATTGAAAATTTTCAAACGCTTACATGTCTACTGCAGTAGGTATATGTATTTTTCTGAAACTTGAAATGAGTTGTTCAAAAAGGAATTATCAGTCTTGTACTTTCTGATATAAAAGTTCTAATGCAGTAAAGAATGAGTTTTCTAGAAGTGCTAATAGCATAATTACAAACACTTCTATAGCGACGTGCATGTACGTGCGTGTGTTTGTGTGTGTGTGTGTGTGTGTGTGTGTGTGTGGCTGCTCGTACTAGTCCGGTCTGATGCCGATTTATAATGCTAGCTCACTGAGATACCATACCGCAGTTTAACATGAATACCCCAATCAGACACAGTATACTGACTCCGAGCCGACCAGTTCTTGTTTTAGCCCCTTAATGCCGAGCGCCAGACATGGTAACAACAAGTACCATCTTTTAACGTCTCCGGGCGGATGCTCTACCACTAGACTACGGAGGCAGTCTGTTACAAACAGAGCTAGGGCCGTTGCGCTTTCTTGTTTAAAGTAACGGATTCAGTAAGATTATCCAACAACCTTAACGAAATATATATTATATAAGGTTTTAAGTGTTGCTGCAGCATATGGATGCCTTAATGCTAAGTCAGTTTCGTCAATGACAAATTGTGTTGGAGTGTTCGGCCTTTGTTTATTAATCAAAGTGAGGCATGAAGCATGGACATACAGTGGCAACCTGTTTACAATCAATATATCGATCACTTGGTGCCCGGAATGTCTGCTGTGGGCTTTATATGAAGATTTATTATTCATAATCATAATTTCTAAAAATAACAAGAACTTCATATGTTAATAAGTTTACTTAAGTGAACAAAGAGATATCTGTGTATTGAATTGAAGGGTTTTGAATACGTTTGGACAAGTGTGCTTTCTTTAGCTTTAGTGATCGTTAAGAAACCTGCTCACGTGTCAGCAGCGGTAAGTATTACCCTTGACTTGACATATGTTATATGACACATAATGAATATTTAATGTTCATTTTAACATGACTCTAGGTTCTTCTTAAACCATCCGGTGTTGGTATTATCGTTACAAGCACATCTGACGATGTTTACAAAAAGTACATGTACGAAAGTGTATCATCTCTTGACGAAGGTTGCTTAATTTCCGCTTCCAAACTGGAGTAATTCTTCTTTCTCGTCTTCTTTTTCACAACACCACCTCACACACAGTGTGAAAAAGAAAGGTACAGTATCCGTTGTGCCATCTTCTTGGAGCTAGATCATAGAGGACGACACACTTAAAGCCTAATAATAGCATCGGTTGTCCTGGGTACCAGCAGGTATAGGTAACCAGGGAGCCGTCCGTCCATCTGAACTCGCCGTCAATATGATGCAGCCCCGTCCATATTTCACCTGCAAACAATTTTTAAATTGTATTTTAATCCATTACCATGCATTAAAATGAGTTTGTGGGTGAGAGAGTGCAGTTTAACACCTAGCGTGTTTCAGTTCATCCTAAGCTTGTTATCATGATTGTTGGAGCAAAAAACACAAGGGCAGGGGTGCCGTGCTGACAAAAGAAAAGTAATAATTATAATCAGGATCGAAGCCTTGATCAGTGGATCCTGACGTGTTTATGAATACTGCGAGACCTTAGACCAATGTTCTATAATAACACGGGCGGTGCAATCTGTACTGAATCAAACAATGAAGGATAACAAGAACAGAATGTTCCCAATATTGTCAGGCAGTTAACGCAGTTAGAAACATCCCACAATCGTGTATCGTTCAATGCAAACACATTCCACCCGACTCAAATCATCTTCCCGAGGCAAGAAAGTTAACTGACTATAAAAGTCCAGTTTCCACCCTTGCCGAACTAGGCTGGGATTATGGAGTTACATTTTGGCTGGACTAACAAGTCTATGCATAGTCCAATCAAAATCGCGCACCGAAATCGAAATCCGGTTCGCAAACAGTTCGGTCGATTGCAGGATTTGCAAAACATGTGCACCGCCAATTCGTTGTCAACAGATATTTTCCAAATCTTTTCATGTTTTTAATCAAGGTGCACACGTGATTTGATGTACTTCGCGAAGGAAGAACCGTTTTATCACCAAATAGATCATGATGGTAGATCAGATCGTCTTGACTGGGCGCCACCATTTTGTTTGAAGCAAATGCATGTGATACGAGAGGTGGAATCTGATTGGTCCATATGGGAGAGGCATAAAAAACTCGTAATAGCCACTGGTGGCGCTACGATCGAGCCCAGGAATTCCAGCCTAGTTCGGCAAAGGTGGAAACAGGACTTTTAAAGTCAGTTAACTCTCTTCCCTCGAGAAGATGACTCAAATGGGAAGGATCACACTCTGCAACATGACTGACTGATGACCGTGTGGGTCGACGCTCATGCTTTCTCGTTCGGTTGGCCTATACTCGATATAGCTGTAATAGTATAGCTAACTGTGGCGTTAACAACATTTACCCGTATGGTGCATATTTTATACTTCGATTTTGCAAAATTTAGAATGATCTCCAACATAAACTAATGCTTCATATCCCTGGGGTAAATATTGCATGTCAACCCATGATGACTTGGGTAAATAATTCATCTCATGACAGTATGTTTTGTTTGTTTGAGTCTTGACCAGACAATCCAGTGATTGACCTCATGAGCATCGATCTACGCAATTGGGATCGATGACATGCACCAACCAAGTCAGCGATCCTGACCACCCGATCCCGTTAGTCGCCTCTTACGACAAGCATAGTCCCCTTTTACGGCAAGCATGGGTTGCTGAAGATCTATTCTACCCCGCATCTTCACGGGTCTCATGACAGTATGTGTATACGTCGCATTGTCATATTTATTGTATATAATACACATGTTTATCTTATAAACTCAAAGTTTAATGCTTCGTTTTAGTGGCAAAAAACGTGGAAAATCCCATTTGCATTTGTGCCCAGTGAAGACATTTCAAGACTCGCCCCCTATGTTACCATGTACGAAAGAAAGACAAATAATCAGAGTGCGCTCACAATGCTCGAGTGTATACAAGTACTTTGGTCAATCCCCCTTAGGTAATTATTTATAATATATATATATATATATATATATATATATATATATATATATATATATATATATATATATATATATATTGTATCTAGGAATGTACCAACGTGACTATCACAAAACTAGATACCAAGTGATTGTAATTGGCAACGTCATTATATCAGAAACAATCCGTGAAAACTAACAAAGCAATCGCTGAAACGGTAAAACAAGTTGAGTTTTTCCGAATAGGCAATAAAGTTTTGTTTTGTTGGACAGAACCAAGTTGATGACATGGCCACGAGAGAGGCAAGAGTCGACATTCGGTTTCTCCCGGAATGGCACGAGTGGTCACGAATGACGCATGAACTCACCCACTTCAGAGGACATGTAGGCCATCTGCTTCTGTTTCGCGTATGTGTCTATCTTGATCAGTCTCTCCCCACTATCACTGCATGTGGCGTTTGCTGATTGCCAGTCAGTTTGCACGCCAAGTTTGATACACAGATGGGCTCCTCGGGAGTAGATGTGATCACGAGGACAATCAGCTGAAACAAATAAATAAAGCTGTAGCAGAAATGTTGAATTTGTTTTTATTTTCCTTGCTTGACACCAAAACGTGTCTTTTTGTTAAGTTAGCTTAACTAATTATATGCAAGTTATTGCCATGTAAAGATATTGTAGAAGTAATCTAGTATGGACCAGACTATCTCCAGTGATATTGCGGGCAATAGCCCCAATGTTTGTTTGTTTGTTGTTTTACGCCGCACTCAGCAATATTCCAGCTACATGACGGCGGTCTGTTAATAATCGAGTTTGGACCAGACAATGCAGTGATTGACATCATGAGCATCGATCTACGCAATTGGGATACGATGACATGCATCAACCAGGTCAGCGAGCCTGACCACCCGATCCCGTTAGTCGCCTCTTACGACAAGCATAGTCCCGTTTTACGACAAGCATGGGATGCTGAAGACCTATTCTACCCCGGATCTTCACGGGGCTATCCCCCATGTAAGGGTACGATGTCAGACATAGCTATAGGTAGCTGGGAATCCCCACAGATGTTTATGATAAATGATATCTGATTTGTATATGAAGTTTCATCAAGATGATGAATTAATGGAATACGACATATGCCCTTGACTGTTGATCGGCCTAAGTCAATCTTGCTGCCTTTGCAACGCAAACATTAACACATTCCAGAACAGCAAAAGTTACCAACACAGCTCTTTTTCTACTGTGTTCCATGACGTAATTTTGAACGGTTATCGTCCACAAACATATTCTTCCTTCATTTGAACCAAATTCCAACTTGCTTCCTTGAAAACTCAAACGTATAAACTGTTGAATTCTTGCTGACCACACAGGCAGCATTTCAGCATTTGCCCGATGTGTATACAAAGTTTCACAAATAAATATTTAACAGTTTATGAGTTAATGCTCCGCAAAAGAACCCTAGCCTCATTAGAACCAAGGTCGAATTAATTGCCTTGCCTTGGTAATTCAGCAAATATAAACTTTTTTACCATCAAAATGAACCGGTTTAGTACATGCCTGATGCGTATACAAAGTTTCATCTCATGATGAACCGTCCAGGAATTATGCTCTGGAATCGAAGCGCGTCGGACGGGACAAGTTTCTATAACCAGTGTAGCCATGGAGGTTATAATAATAATAATAATAATAATAATAATAATAATAATAATAATAATAATAATGAAAGCTGCAAGCAGCAATGGCGGGCTCCAAGTAACACTGTGCCCCAAAGGTCCATGTTCGAACCCTCAAAGGTTTTCTTGTACCAACTCCGTCCAAAATATTCACCTGACATCACCGCTACGGATTGGCGTGTTCCAGGGGTGTCACAACTATTAATCAAATATTATCACCAAGTGGTGTTACTTTTAGCGTGCAACCAAGAACAAAAAATGAGGTACATATGACTGACTAATTTCATGTCAACTTTCAATAGTTTCTGTGGAGAACCTTACAAGATATGATCTTTAAAGTAAAATTTCGGTGAAAAAAATCATCAAAAAATGAATCCAATAGGGCCGTAACTAAGAAAGCTATAAAAAAACGGCTAACAGAGTTTTATGTATTATATATGGAGACAATTCTCAGAGAGTTTGAAATCATTCAAGCAGTAGGTTCAGAGGAAATAGGATTTGAAGAGTGGTACCCCAAAACCCCGTGAAAACCTTGAATCCAATATGGCTGCGAAACTATGTGACCAATGACCAAAACCAAAGAACAAAAAATGTCAAGGAACTAAAGCAGCAGACACATGCAAGGTTTGAAATTAATCGGAGAAGCGGTTCTTGAGCAATAGTGCAAAATATATCTTCAAAAAATACTTGTTTTTCAGTTATCCACCCTATTAGGGCTACGGCCTTTGGCTTTTGGTGGGCACTAGTACTCAACGGTCTACATACACACACAAAATTAGAACAAAATCGAGCCAGTAGATATTTTGCTATCTCTGGTACAAAAATCGGCGGAATAATAAAAAAATATAAATCTAACGATCACAACAGGGCTCTACAGCATTTCAGGTCTGCTAATATGGCAGTGTAATTCAGGGGGTCAAGAGTTCCCTCTTATATGTCATTTGGGCTACTGTCAAACGGATTAGCGTTCTGAGTTTGCAATACTCAGATAAAGTGCTGAACCTGTTTCCGACCTCGTCCATGTTCGAATCCCCAAATGGTTTGTTTGTACCGACGCCGTCAAAAGTAAGGAGACACTTGCGAGACATCGCCGCTACGACATTGATGTGTCACAGAACGTCCCGGGATGTTCCACACCCATTTCAGACGCCGTCCATGTTCGAATCCGTATATGGTTTGCTTGTACCAGCGCCATCGAACGTAAGGAACCGCTTGCGAGACATCACCACATGTGTCCCATTGAGTTCTCAAACCATTTCCGACCTCGAATCCTGAAAGGGTTTGCTTGTACCAATTCCGTCAAAAGATAGTCACCGTTTGCAGGACATCACCCTACAAAATTCGAGTGTGCCAGAGTTAACCAGCGTGTTCTAAGCCCATTTACCACCCAGACAATGTTCGAATGCCGATAATCACCTCTTAAGCCAAGCATGGGTTGCTGAAGAGCACTTGTAACCCTCATCTTCAAGGGTAGTATACATAATGCTGAAGACACTTGACAGTGAAAGGAAGATAATCCTAGGTTTTCTGAGCCATTTATTCAGTTTTTCAGTTAAAAAAATCATCAAAATCAAAATCCAATATAGGAGCAACTAAAAAAGATATCCAAAATCGGTGAAGAAATTTTTTGTTGTTGTGTATGGAGACAATTCTCAGAAAGTTTGAATGCATTTCATGCAGGGGTTTCAGAGGAGTAGGGATTTGAAGACAGGTACCCCCAAACCCTTTGAAAACCTTGAAACCAATATGGCTGCCAAACCACGTGATCAATAACCAAGTCAAAGAACAAAAATTATCAAGGAACTGAAGCAGCAGATACATGCAAGATTTGAAAGTAAACGGACAAACGGTTGTGGAGCAGCAGGGCAAAATATATCGTAAAAAAATACTTGTTTTTCAGTTATCTGCCCTTGGCCTTTTTTGGCCTACGGCCTTGGCGTTTTGGCGGGCACTAGTACCCAACGGTCTACAAACACACACAAAATTTGATCAAAACCGAGCCAGTGGTTGTTTTGCTATAGCCAGGTCTGGTAAAAAAATCGGCGGAAAAATAAATAATAATAAATAAAAATTATAATAAATCGAACGATTACAATAGGGCTCTACAGCCTTTCGGCTTGGAGCCCTAATAATAATAAAAGTTATTGACCATCTCGTGGCAGATCAGGGCTATACGTACTTAGGGATGCAGATTAGGAACAACCTCCAGAATGCCCATATCAAGGACAAACTGCGGGCAGAGTACAAATGTAGACTGAAGAAAATCTGGAGTTCAGAGCTGAACGCTCGCAATAAAGTAAAAGCCACAAATACTTATGCTGTACCCGTCCTTTCATATTCTTTTTGTGTTGTTGATTGGACGAAACAAGGCATTCGGGGTATTGACACCCTCACACGAAGAATCATGTCAGACAATAGATCCCACCACCCTCGCTCTTCCCTCAATCGCTTATACTTACCAACCATGATGGGAGGACGTGGTTTTATTAACGTTGGAGCTCTTCATGATAGAATTATTTTGTGCACTTTTGCACACATTTATTTGTCTTATGATCCTCTTGTGAAGCACGTCAAGACCCATGATAAAAACAAGGCATTCCACAGTTGTCTAAAACGAGACAAGGATGTTGGGCATAATCTCAATGTCGGTGTTGATTTTGTTGATGGTTCTGTACTGCTGGACGGTACAGAAATGAGTGTCAACCAAGCGAAGTGCCATATCAATTCGGCCCAGACTCACTTTTTCAAGAAGATGCTTTCTGAGCGACCACTGCATCGAGTTTATGTGCAGTGTGTTGAGAAGATCAGCAATCCTGCCGAGTCCTTCACTTGGATGAAACAGAAGGCTTTCTGTTTGCTGCTCAGGACCAGTCATGATCAGGTCCAACTCGAAGCCGTCAATGTGTGATTTTGCATCAAAATGTGAATACGAAATGTAGATTATGTAATGAAATTAATGAGACTGTCCAACACATTGTGAGTGGATGCCCAGCTTTGGCACAAACACAGTATCTTAAGCGACATGATGGGGTGGCTTGATCATTTTATTACCGTCTTCGCCATGCTTGTGGTTTTGCCACAGAGGTCCATCTATGGTACGACCCGGAATATGTAGAGGGCGTCATGGAAAATGATAAATACAAAATCCTTTGGAATAGCCCCGTATACAGCTTCAGACATATCCAGGCTAACAAACCTGATCTGTGCTTTTTGATAAATCCAATGAAATCATTTATATCATTGAATTTTCTGTCCCTTTTGACAGTAATGTGATTGACAAGACTGAGGAAAAACATGGCAAATATGCGGACCTCGCTTTCGAAATGTCCCGCTTGCATCCCAAGTACCAAGTTGTCCGACTCCCCATTGTTCTCGGTGCCTTAGGTTTGGTACCCCTAATCTGTTGACTGACATCGGGAGAGTACCAGGGTTTGACACCAAGAATACAGCCCTTCTGACAATCTGGGTAATGCAGAAGGCTGCAGTGTTGGAGAGTCTTCACATTCTCCTAAATGTTTTGGGTGGGTTTAACTAGGCAGCGAATCCTGGGAGAAGTCCCATTCGCTGTCTGGGCTGCGTGGAGATGGCGCAAGGGCCCTTAGCTGATGATGAGCCTAACCAGCCTGACTGTGCCAGGATCACCCAAACCCTCTTTGCTGCATTTTCTATTTTAATCTGTAAATAATAATAATAATAATACATAAATATCTACATGGAGCAAAAGGAGCCAGAAAGGGATGTTGGGGTTGTAAGGATCAACTGCTGGTTCAGAAAATGATCCTTGAAGAGGCTAAAACTTACCACCAAAAACAATGATAATAAATAAAGCGACAACACCGTTTCCATGTCCAATAGACATCTCTGCATAAAGC